CAGAAATTTTGATGGAATTGTAACGGAAAGACTGCATTGATTTATGGAAAAGGATCCGACGCGCCATATCCTTTTCCTAGGGATCTTAAGGATCCCGTGATCGGGACCATCCATCATACATCGTGCGGTCATAAATCATTTTAAAATTTAAAATTTAAAATTAAATATAAATAGTATCTAACGAAAAATGACCGCACAATGTTCAATAAACAGTTGCGATCACGTATATCGATTAATTTTTAATTTCAGGAAACATCTTGATGAGGTGGATCAATTTCCAAAACCATTTGTGATAAAAATCCTATTCTTTTTAGGGAAAATATTTGGTATATGTATTTTATTTATGATATGTTACATGATTCACTTTTGTTACCAATAATGGCCTCTTTGTTACGAACTTTATAATGTGACAAGCAAATTATTCTACATGCTTCATTTGGTTATAGACGAGTGCTAGGTTCAGTTGAGCACATGCACACAGACTGATTTTGATGTGTATTCTTTATAATTTCTGCAAGCAAGGATGGTCAAATTCAACTCAACATGTTAAGTAACTAGTCATAATATTTCTCTGTTGTATAAAGATGAGGCCTAATTATTAGAGATAATTTGTACTCTGACCTTTCGTACCACTTCACTTGTTCGTCCAATGCACACATAAGAGTGCCTCATGCATTTAGGTCCCACACATATCCGTTTTCGTCGACCTAATGCAATACGCTACTCTTATGTAGCCTTGGACAAATGAATAATGTAGCATGGAAGCCACTACTTAAGAATATATGTTTTTAGCATAATTAACAAGTTTAACTTTCAATGAAAAATTTATGTTGTCATGTATATATACTGTGCAAATGTACAAATACATGTCAGAGAATCGACGGACACAGAGTGTACATCAGAAGCCACATGCCCACATCACCCCAAGTACTTGAAGCCCAATCCCAGAGGTGCTTTGGAAACACATCTTATAACAAAAGATACCCACAAAAACACAAATAACATCCAAAACTTTGACACCTTAGATTTTTGGTTAGGCAAAACAAAAGAGAGGATGGGAGGGGCTGCCTTAAGAGGGTGTTTTCAAAGCTGAAAAAAGCAAAAGAAACAGAAAGAAAATCATGTTCTCACTAAGAGAAGAAGATACTTTGCCCAAAGTACAAATCAAAGATCATCCCTTTGACTACCTCGTTTGTCTATCTAGGATTTTTACCTGTTTGATTTTCAAACAAGGAAGAGTTTTCCAACATCCTAGCACTAGAGGTTCTGAGTTATTCTTTTTATTTATCGGTTGAGCATCAAATTCATTATGTGTTAGTCGCAAATGTAGAGTTAAAATCATTATCGACGCACAATTTGAGTTGGATAATAATTTCGATAAATAACCTTTCATACATGACATGTAACTTCAATGGTGGAGCATTTATCTATTCACAATTAGAGTGAGAAACTCATTCTCTTTTTTCTTTTTCCAAATTGAAGAAACAAATCAAGGAGAAAGAGAAAACGACAGTATGAATTTCACCATGCATAACCAAAATTTCATGATGAATGATGGTGGGACATGAGAGTGAGGAAATACATTTTACATCAGCCGGCCATGAACCACAAAGAAAGAGGACCGAATTTATGTACAATTTGACTAAGTTTTCTCTAATAATATGAAGTGGCAGATGGATGTTCCACGTCACGTTTTACCAAAGGATAAGGTACAAGTCATGTAAAAGAAAAGGGAGAGATTGGAGAGAATCATGCATGTATCCACATTCATCATAACTGAATCCGATTAGATGGTGTCCTCTTTGGTCCCACTTTGTTGAAATTTTTCTGTGAGGAAACAGTTACTAGTAAAAAGAAAAGTATTCGATCGAGTTGTAGGGTAGTCTGTCTCTTCCCTCATTTCCTTTTGCCCATCACTCTTTCGTAAGTTTAGCATTTGTTTTTCTCACAGTTCTTGCACTGTCCCAGGGTGACGCCATTTTGACATGCATTAGCCAACGTTTAGGGTCCCTTGATGATATCATCTTGCACCACCTATTCGTCATTTTCTCATTATATCGATCATAATATAAAGAACTAGTCTCACTAGTGAGACTACATGCAATCACTTATAGAGGTTACTCAGTACCTTTCTAATGTGAGACTCAACACTAGCCGACTCAATATACTATGTGTTTGGGTTGGCTCTAATACCATCTGTCACAACCTAGATGCCATATCAACACTACATCCGTACATCGAGCTTGGTAAGACTAGTCACTAGCGAGACTACATGCAATTACTTATACAGCCCAAAATGACCTAGTACTTTTCCGTATGTGAGACTCAACACTAGCCAACACAATATACTATGCTTTTGGGTTGGCTCTAATACCATTTGTCACGACCCATATGCCTTATCAACACTACATCGAGCTTGGTAAGACTAGTCACTAGTGAGACTACATGCAATTACTTATACATCCCAAAATGACCTAGTACTTTTCCATATGTGAGACTCAACACTAGCCAACACAATATACTATGTGTTTGGGTTGGCTTTAATACCATCTATCATGAACCAGTTGCCATATCAGCACCACATCGATCTTGGTATAACTAGTCACTAATGAGACTACATGCAATTACTTACACAATCCAAATTGACCTAGTACTTTTCCGATGCGAGACACAACATTGGCCAAGCACAATATGGGGTGTCGCGGTCATATCTATACATGTATGACTGTATATGAAGGAGATTTGGCCAAATGCCATGCTGGTAGAAAAGTGGGCCGTTTGTATGACAGCTCTATGTGTTTTAGACAAATCGTTGCCAACATATATTGGGGATGGTTGGCTATGAGGGTAGTGGAAGCTTCACTAGAGTAGAGGATTCGATGGGGTTTGTGAGGGATTCCCATTTGGCATTTGGGAGATGAAGACTCTGTAGTTTTCATTGGTGTGTTTAGCTGTCTAGCTTAATAGTTTAATTAGATAACCTTGAAATATGAACAATTAAGTAGTATGATAGGGGAAGAAGACACAGTCTCCCACATATAGCATGTGTGTTAAGATTAGTCAATTAATAAATCAAGCCCGGAGAGCTTAATCCAAGAAATTACTTTGTTCAAGATTAGTGATTAAACAATGTTAATCGATACTTAGGCTCAAAAACCTAGGAGATCGCGTGGGGTTGTGAATTGTGTTAAGCCAGGATTAGGGACTCTCAATTGCCTAGCAAGATCCTACCTTTATGTGAACTAAGGTGAACTAGTTTGGTCCATGTCTTGTGTTCTTGGATTAATTTGAAATATTGAGTGGTTAATTTGGCTCGTGACTTGTATACTTGTGATGTATTGGTACCTTGAAACTTACCAGCAAAATACCTAATTTTGTTGCTCTGTTATTTAACTTTTATTTATTGTTGTATTAACAATGTCATACTCATTCGTAATTAACGAAATATATGCTACTCAACAAGATTTAAACATGAGAGTGAGTGAGAAACATGGAAGAAAGGAGGGGCACTTAAGAACTAAAGAGAAATTATTCATTATTTAACAAGGAAAACTAATAAAAATGGCTTGAAAACTTTGATTTTTAACAATAAGGACAAAATAAAAGGTAAAGTGATAGTACCAGGATTGATTTTTTAGTGTAAAAATATGATTTTTCGTTAAAATAAACAGTACCAAGAGTTTTTCGTTAAAGTTCCCTATTTAATATGATTAATGCAATAATCTTATAACCAAAAAATGAGTGAGAGGGGGCACATGTCCCCCAAGGCATCACCACCCTCCGCCCCTGATATATCATATACCATATCTCTCTTCTTAAACGAGACATCACACGAGGAGATAGACTGAGGTCTTGCATCCCCCAAAAAATACAAATCTAACGTTCAATATTTGCATAAGCAAGTGTTTTTATGAAGGGGGCATTTTTCAAGACACAAACTTTACATTCATCCAAAATATATGAAATGTGAGCTTGCATATTAGCAAGTTGAAATTATCCAAACTGATACCCCCAAAACTGGGACAAATGCCTTGGTTCTCATGGACACAAGTCTTGATGGAGTCAAAAGGGCCTCAATTTTGCATAGCAATGTAACCTAGTGTTCAACTAAAAAGCAAACCATTGAAGGTTTTGAGGAGATATTTGCATGCAATTGCTTCTTAAGTTGGACCACAAACATTCTTCCAATCTCCCACACCTCAGCAATGAACTTCCATTGGAGAAGAAACCCCATTTTTCTTATACAAAAATACACCCTCTATGAAACCCTATAAAAATCTATGGCTATGAATGTCTCAAAGCAAGCACACCACATTGGGGTCAACATTAATGACCTATACAAAAAAAGCCCTCCAAACATTCCTACCAATTGTGCAAACACAATCACGTATTATAAAGTTCGCAAGAAGTCAAGTGTTACTTAAATTTATGTTCTAGTAATATTTCGTATTATTTGTAAGTAAGAATTTTTAAATTCGATTATTGTCAAAAACAAATTCGAACTAAGTTATTGTTAACCTCCCTTCTTATTTCAAAATCAAAGAGATCAGTCAGTACTACGTATTGTAACAAACTCCCAAATGCATTAATCTCTTTTATCTATTTCTTTTGTTGGGTTCTTTGACTGCTTGGGTTTTAGATCAAACCTAACTTAGAGAGAGAGGGGGCAGAATTTAGAGAGAGAAAGCTTGGCAGGGGCAGTGTGGGAAGTTGGGTGTGAGTGGGTGACCAAATATAATCCAAAGCCACAGCCCGAGTGCCCATTCTCCCCAATTCCCAAGCAAAGGGCTGGGTCGGCCTTGGACTTTGGGGTAAAAAGCCTCTCGACACACAGAGCCAAGCTCACTCCTCTCTCTCTCTCTCTCTCTGTCTCCCCTCTCCTTCCTCTCACTCTTATACCACTCCACTTTATTCTCTCTTCAAAATTCGATACTTTGCTCTGTACCCATAACGAGGTTTTTCTCACAGACAACTCCCACACTTTCACTCTCTCTCTCTCTCTCTCTTTGTCTTGATTTATACTTAGAGGGCTGTGTCCTCCTCCTGTTTCTTCCCCTTCGAGTTTCCTCTGTTTTTTCTCCTGCCAAACACAGACGAGAAGTGCAAGAGGAAAGTACCTCTGTTTTTTCTCCTGCCAAACACAGAAGAGAAGTGCAAGAGGAAAGTACCCAGTTGGATATTTCGGATTTTAACTTTCTATTTGGAAGCCGGGAAAATAAAATGCCCATTTGGGTTCTCTTCATTGATTGAGAAACAAGGGGCTTTTCCCACTACCCATTTTTGTTCTCTTCTTCTCCTAACCAACTCACTGAGCTTTTCCCATTGTTTCCCGGAAAAAAACCAGAGCTTTTGAGCCCATTTTTCTGGGTTCTTTTTGTTCTTCTTGGGGTTTAATTTTGTTGGCCTTCTTCTTCTTTCTCCATCCGCATTACAGACATCCATTTATGAAGCGGTGAAACAATGAGAGATGAGAATTCCAAGAAAAGCAAGGTTCGATAAAATGCCACCACTTTTCCAATTTCTTCTGCATTTTGGTTCTGAGATTGCTGACTTTTTTGAGCTAATTTCTGAAGCTTTCATGGCCCAAGACACTGGTCAAAAAATGGTTCAACATCAAGAGCAAAGCCGAGGACTTCGATGCAGACGACGCCGTTTACGGAGGTTATTGTCACTTACATGCATTGATTTGGATTTTATAAGAGTTTGGGATTTCTGATTTGGGAACCTTGGATTTTACATCAAGATAAAAAAAAAAAAAAAAGGGATTTCTCTGCATTTTTAGATTCTTCTTTGCTCTGAACACTCCTGCAATGCTCTAATCTGCATCACTGCAATTTTGGGTAGAGAAAATTTCAGATTTTAATGGACCCTGCAGCTTCAAGATCTTCCATTTGTTTTCTTCCTCTTTTCTGCAGCAATTTCTTTTAATTATTATTAATATTATTATTTTCTTCATTTATTTTGTAACTTGAAAAATGTTCTTATTGTTTTGTTTTGTTTTCTTGTGGTGGTTTTTGAATCATTTGAATGTATCAACAGTGGAAAAAGCTCAGCTTTAACAACTTTATGGGGTTATCTTTTTCAGGTGTTGATGGAGAGTGGAGGAACAACCATTCAGAGAGGGAGGCATGCACAATCAAGAAAAGCAAAACAGGTTCAGTTCTAATTATTCAGTTTTTGCTTTGGACCACAACATTCTTAGCATAAAAAGATAATCATGCTTTCTGTTTAGAGTCTCCTAATTTTCTGGCCAATTCTTTAGTCTTTGACTAATCACCTCTTAAACCCCAACTAAATCCACAGAAAGATTGAGCAAGAGGCATTCGGATAGAATCCGGCGGGGTAAGATTGATATGGAAGCATCACAGGTTACAGATGTACATAATTACAGGTATGAAATGAAACCAGCATTGTCTTGTAAATTAGCTGTAATTAAGCACTTCTTCTTTGTGGATGAAGAGGTTTAAACAGAAATTTTCGGGGTAAGAGCCTTCTCTTGTATGTGAGATTTATGGTGTTCAATGTGGGCACAGGATCTTTGTAGCTACATGGAATGTGGCTGGAAAATCTCCTCCGAGTTGTTTGAATCTCGAAGATTGGCTTCATACCTCTCCACCTGCTGATATTTATGTTCTTGGGTAGGTTCTTGCATATCTAGATATGTTCTCTCTAATCTGTGCAACGTTTTTGTTTGGTAATAGAATCCTCATCCATCCCTTTGGTTCCCAGGTTCCAAGAAATAGTTCCTTTGAATGCCGGCAATGTTTTAGGCGCGGAAGACATCGCGCCAGCTAAAAAGTGGTTAGCTCTTATAAGGAAGACTCTAAATAATCTTCCTGGAACAAGCGGTGCTTTCCATACACCTTCGCCAGTAACTGATCCAATTGTAGAATTAGATGCGGACTTTGAGGGATCGGCAAGGGAGAAGGCATCCTCTTTCTTTCATCGCAGGTCCTTTCAATCCTTGAGCCGCAGCATGAGAATGGACAATGACATGTCAATGCCGCAACCCAGACTTGATAGGCGATTCAGTGTTTGTGATCGGGTTATGTTTGGGCACAGATCAAGTGATTATGATCCCAATTACAGATGGGGTTCCTCTGATGATGAGAATGTACCTGGTGATTCACCTGTTGTGACACATTATTCACCAATGTCCAACAGTGGGTCTTTCTCAATGGAGGATAGAGATAGACAGCTAGGCCACTCGAGATACTGCTTGGTTGCCAGCAAGCAAATGGTTGGTATATTTTTGACAGTGTGGGTAAAAAGTGATCTTCGAGATGATGTTCGCAATTTGAAAGTGTCTTGTGTTGGAAGAGGATTAATGGGCTATCTCGGAAATAAGGTACACATTTTTCTAATGAAATATATTTCGTACTTCCAGGAGATGCAGCAATCTTATTGTCTTGAGTTTTCCAGGGTTCAATTTCCATTAGCATGTCTTTGCATCAAACAAGTTTTTGCTTCATCTGTACTCATCTCACCTCTGGGCAAAAGGAAGGAGATGAACTTCGTAGAAATTCCGATGTCATGGAGATCCTTAGGAAGACAAGGTTTCCCCGGGTTAATGGCATGGGAGATGAAAACTCTCCTCAGACTATACTAGACCACGAGTAAGCCCCTGTGTTTGTTGAATTTCTCTAATTATCTGCTTATCTAAGTTTTGCCGTTCTTTCTCTTTGAAGTTTAAAATTTCTAAGAAACTAGCCTTGGAGAAAATTTTAAAACGAAGTTTCCTTGTGCAGTCGAATTATCTGGCTTGGGGATTTGAATTATCGCATTGCCCTTTCTTACCGCTCTGCAAAAGCTCTTGTTGAGATGCGCAACTGGAGGGCATTGTTAGAGAATGACCAGGTATGCAACCTATTACACTACAAGCACTGTGCTTTTCTTTCAAATGTGTTAATCTCGTGTTCCCCCATGGGACCAAAAAGAAAAGGAAAGAAAAAAAGTGTTGTGGTCTTTTTTGACTTGCTTTAGAATGGCTTGTATCTGAAATTTTGATGGATTATACTATCAGCTACGAATAGAGCAACTAAGAGGACGCGTCTTTGAGGGATGGAATGAAGGGAGGATATATTTCCCTCCTACATACAAGTATCTAAATAATTCAGATCGGTATGCAGGCGATGATAGGCACACCAAGGAGAAGCGAAGAACTCCAGCATGGTACTAACAACAAATCTCTTGTAGAAAATTTTTCGAGAGGAAATCATTTAGTTTTTTAGATTATATGAATATCTAAACATACTTTATGCATGTGAAGGTGCGATCGTATATTATGGTACGGAAGAGGCCTCCAGCAACTGTCTTATGTTCGTGGGGAGTCAAGATTCTCAGATCATAGGCCAGTCTACGGTGTATTTCTGGCAGAGGTTGAGTCTATTAACCGTAGCCGAATCAAGAAAAGTATGAGTTGTTCCAGTTCCAGAATCGAGGTAGAGGAGCTGTTGCCACACTCCCATGCATACACCGGCCTCAATTTCTATTGAAGGGTGGCCTGTCCCTTCTGAAGCAGAATTTACTGCACTGTTACATCAGGTTATTATCCTATGATCCGGTTTACTTACGTATTTTTAGAGTTCACTTTATAGTTTATAATTGAATCTAACGTTCACAGTCTGTAAACAGGAATTCCTACGATTACAAAACACCATAACCGAAACACAAAATTATCCGGAATTCCAACCCCATTTCACCTCCTCAATACAAAATTATCCGGAATTCCAACCCCATTTCACCTCCTCAATCATTCAGGTACTTTTCACCATCTTCCCTCATTTTAAACAATCCCTCAGCATTATTTCCGATAACACGAGCAAAGGGTTTTCTTTACCGCACAAAAAATGTCATTGTCATGAAAAAGATCGAATCTTTATGCCAATAACGCTTCCAGTAATCTCCAGTTGACTTCCTAATCATGCATGAAAATATCGAACATGTACTGCGCATATTTTTTTCGAAAGCATGGGCATAAAACGTGTCTTCTTTCCCGATTAAAGTTGTATTGCTGAGAAGATCTCTTTGTCTTGTTCTTGCTTCTTATCAGTTGAAAATCTTCTGGTCCCCAAATTGCAAGTGGGCACAAAGCAATTGCTGATGGTGATAAAGACAGACTGTTTTGCCCACAATCCAGAAGAAGGTTGGCCTCTCACTTTCTTTCCCTTTTCACAGTTTTTGGCTGCAATTTCCTACATTCTTCTTTGTCTAATTCTCCCCATACTTTTCCTCATCACACACACACACAGAGCAGGCAGGTACAAATTTTGGGTGAATTTGTTGACACCTTCTAAGTAACCCCACACGTTTACAGGTTTTAGTTCTTTTCATCCCCAAAATTTCCCAATTGGCAAATTTGGAAGTTTCTGGCTTGGTGGATTTGAGTGATCTTGGTAATCAGGTAAGATTATGGAAATTGAATGTTGCTTTTGACTTTATTGAATTGTTTGGGTTGAAAATTAATCATAACGGAAATGTCATTGCAGCAGTATTCTAAACTAATCAAAAAGTTTTATGTTGAAAGTTAATAAATAGTCATAGTAGCGCGTGATTGACTTAAAATACTACTACATTGACATTTTCGGTATAAGCAAATTTATCTCTTAAAAAGAGCTTGAAACATTCATAAGAATCATAACTAACTAGCTTCTTGATTTTCTTTTTGTAGGATGAGCTGACCAGGGTTTGGCGGCGCCACCAAGTTCGTTTGACATCTAATCTGTTGACTAATTATTTTTGAATAAAAAAATAAGATAAAATCATTGAAGTTTTCAGTGTAAAAAAAAAGTAGAGGAGAAAATCATTAGTGTCAAGCTTAGCTTTATTTTATTTTTTTATTGAAAAGTGAAGTATTTGTATAAAGAACAAAGAATTCCGTCTGAATAAGTTTATTAAGTTTGGATAAAAAAAGGCGGGGAGGATGTCAGATAGTTGACAGTCTGTATTTTATTTTTCACGTCAAGTCTTTATAATAATGAATCTTAAACATAATTGTTTTGGAAACTTAGAACTAGATTGTTACCCATAAGTGAAAATAATTATTTTATTTTATTTTGTCGGATTGGGTACAGAAAAAAGTGGTGAGATGTGACAAGATGTGATGGATACTCATTACTGGTGAATAAAATGGGAGAAGTTGAAGGTCTGCTGATTGATTTAAAATTTCTTTTTTCTGTTGCTTGCTTCTAATGATTTTGCCTACGCAAATAAACAAATAATTTTTACTTTTTGCTCTTTTTTTCACCAATCTTTGGGTCTTATGGTTGTACCAGAATAGGAAAAAACAAATTGATTCGTGAGGGCAACCCTATAGAACGTGGGTTTCCCTAACCTACAACAATCTTCTCAAAAGTCTTCTCTATAGCACGGAAATACTGTCACATTGATATTTCTTGTTAATCATATAATTATATGTATAAGTTTATCTTCACATAACGTTATATCATTGAAACGAGACATCACAAGGATGATGTACACCTTTCATGTAAGTTGTTGTCCTTCAGCTGGTCATTATGTTCAAATTCCAATTGTACCGCCATGAAACAAAAACAACTTACATTTTCTCAAACAAACTTAGAACATAGTTCGCTCGTTCTATGTGAGAAGTCACGTGTATCAAATTGTGTTTTGTATGCTTATGATTTATCTTTTGTATGTGGTCTAATATCCTAGTGTATATGGTGTTGGGTTTTAATCTATGCGTCTTGGGTTGTGTTGGAAACATGGCCCAATATACTAACACTATGTTTGGATGAGGGAAATAAACATAGAATTTTGGTAAAAGTTAGAATTTATAAATTGACAGGCACAAATTCTCTTGTTTGGATTCATAAACATAGAAATTTAGAATTTCCGCGTGGAAAAAAAACTTGGAATTTGGGACCTCCAAATCCCAAGTTCAAATTCCATGTAAATAGGTGTCATTTCTCAATTTCTATGATTGACAGTTTAAAAATAACAAATTCCGTATTCAGTTCCATTGTTCTTTTAGGTTAACCAAACAAGAAAATTTACAAATTCTAGAAAATAAAATCTCGTCATTTCAATTTCCGTCATTTTTAAATTCCTTAATAATTTTAAATTTCTTCACCCAAACATAGTGTAGTGTCATAATACAAGTAGTTTAAAAATTGAGAGTTTTAACGAAAAACTCCCGGTAACTGTTCACTTTAACGAAAAAAATCACATTTTTGCTCTAAAAAGTCAATCATGGTACTATTCACTCACAACACCTTTTTGTCTTTTTCGTTAAAACTCAAAGTTTTTAAATCATTTTCATTAATTTTCCTTTAAAAAAAATCTTCAAATATTCAATTACTTATATTATGATACTTAGTATACCGAATTGTATTCCAACACGCTTTAATATCTCTTCGCAACTTGAAGTGCCAATACAAAGAAAAGTGGGAAGTAAATGTACTTTTTGTAGACTCTGGTAGATCAGATTTCAGACCTGTGTCTGCAGATATGGGTGCAATTTATTGACCAACAACAACCCATTTTTAGTACGTACACGTTTTCAAAATACAATTTAAATTCCATCAAACCAAAAAAAAAAAAAAAAAAGGAAAAAAAAAGCCAAATCTCATTCAATATCATTTGAGCTAAAACTTTTACTCACCCTATCCAATTTATTTCGAGTCGAAAACAAATTCCTTTTATAATGCGTTTAATTGCATTTTCTGTCCAATACAAATATATAGTCTATCTGATTGACAATATGTCGTCTGTAAATTTAAATGCGGTTAACTTAAACAACTACGAGTATTTTTTTAAGGTTAAGTACAAAAAACTACCTAATCTTTTAGGGTAATTCAAAATTAGTCTCAACCTTTTAAAACATTCTAAATAACTACCTAACGTTTTGAAAATTAGACATTTGGTAAGTCACTAGGGACTTTACCAGCATTAAATGATGACGCTACTAGCATTAAATGATGAGGTGGACAAACACTAAAGTTGGGTTTCACTAATCGATGCCTTTGGAGTTCTAATTTCTCAAATTGATCAATTTTAGCTAAGTTAAACCATAAATTTGCTTAGCTAAATAATTTCATTTTGAAAATTCAGATTTTCATAGATGACTTGAGAGTTAACACAGGCTTAATATTTGTTTACGTCATCGTTTAACGATAGTGAACCTAATAGATGTCTAGTTTTCAAAATTTAAAGTAATTATTTAAAATGTTCTAAAAAGTTATGACCAATTTAAGATTATGGTAAAGATTGAGTAGTTATTCAAATTTAAAACTTTTTTTTTTATGTTAATTTCATAGCATGGGATGACAGACACTCACTGAAAAAGTTGGAAAATCAAACTCTTAAATAAATATACGAACTTCAAGAAAGAAATAAAATAATAGGTGCTTGTACATTCCCAAATAAAAGAAGAAGAAAAAAATATTAATTAATTGTAGTGACCAATAATACTGCTAGAAGGTGTCATTTTTCCGGGAGATTTTTTAATGTGGTCAGAATATGAGATGGTACATATGTTATTATACAAATAATAGGATATATGTAATAAAAAATTAATAACTTAAAAAATTAAACTTCCTATTACTTATATAATAACACGATGTACCACTCGTGTTCCAATTACAATAAAAAATTTCTTTATTTTTCCATATGAAACTTTGTTGCAGTGTTGGAAGTCTGGTCGGTTTTTACCGAAAGGTGAAAAAGGTTAAAGTTTAACTGAAATCCGCGCGCATGAAAACGGCCCTTGTTCCCAACACCAAGACCCGTCGCCGTCTCATTGGGTTTTCCGTGCTCCACTGAACCTACTTTCCTTTCTTATCTCACTCGCTCAATGTGCGCGTGCACCACGGTCTGTTTGGTTTTGGAACTTATCCTCATGTTTCAAATTCATCATACTTTTTGTTAGTTTTCCACCATTAAAACGGATGAAAATAATCTTCAATTTGACGGAAGAATTGGCATATCTTACAATTTAGGAGAACTAAAATGTTTTAGAAAACTTAGGAACGACAGTTTGTGAGAGTGTTTGACATGCCAAGTGGTTAAGCTTTTTGACCAAAATAGTATATGGGATTGACATAACTTCTCATTTTGATTTTTCAGATTGAAAATCAATAGAAGCGGTCTCTGTGTTAAATCATTTTGATCATTCTATGAAAAATCCGTCAACACTATCGTTAAATTGTCACGTGAGCAACCACATTTTAAAGAGTAATTTTGTCAAACTAAACATTTTTAGTTGAAATGGTTCTGAGATTGATATAATTCTTTACTTTGGTTCATGAGCTTGTCCATCATAAATTATTTTAATCATTATGTAAAAATTTGTCAATATCTGAGTTAAACTGTACGTGAACGTGGAGTAAGCTGAAATGAGCAATATATAAGGGAATTGATGGACAGAGTGAAATTTCCAGTTTGATGTACGGTACGTGCTGCTGGCGGTGACGGGGTCCGTTTACACGTGGCAGTAAGCTGGAGTGGGGAATGTAAAAGGAAATTGGTCGAAGTGACAAAAATGTGGCCTACAAATTCTGCCCATGTGGCAACTGGACCTGGACACATCATTCAAGTTACGGAGATTCCCTGCTTCCTGTTATGATTCTTTTTTACTTTTTTCTTTTCTTTCTCGCAGCTGTTCTACATCAATTTTTAAAAGTAAGTGCAAAAATAATAAATATTACGTACACTCATATGTATTTCATAAGTTTGAAGTTATATATGCAAGGACGGAGTCAACTGGGGCCCAGTCGAAGCGGATGCTCGATACAGTTTTGTGGGAAAAAATGTACATGCTTGTGACAATAATAAAATGTTTCACTAGCTTACTTGTTTATAACATTAGCATCAACTTTTCTAGTTGATAGTACTGCCAACGTTGAAATAGCATTTTCGTTATAAAGTTTTTGAAGAATCGATTGAGAAATCGAATGAGTAAATGATAATATGAGTATTTTAATAGAAAGAGCTAGATATATGAGTCAGGAGAATATTGTGAAATTTCTCAAATCCACCATTCTTCTGTTGGAATTAGGAGTTGGATGTTTTTTTATCATGAAACATGAGTCGGAGAATACTTGGTGTCTTTCATGGGAATGAGTTTCGTACGTGTAATATACAGCTTAACACATATAAACATTTCTTTTAATACATTTGACGAGTTATTTCTATATATGTGTGCTGCATGCAATGCTCTTTTGTTCCTTTGCGGTAATGAGTCGAGCAGTGTTCTTTTGTCTAAGGAAATATTGGCGCATGTGTAGCCCATCACTGTATGCTACTGTAGTAGAGATGACTGTAATTTGTACATCTACAGAGGGTTCATTTCATTCATATCAAAAGAAAGAAAAGAAACAGCAAAGTCGAAGTGTTGCACAAATCTCGATGAATTCATAACTTCAAAGACAAAGTTGAGCACAGGCTGCACGCATAAGCAATGCAGTACACGGTCAGTGGAGCAAGGAATTTACTTTGATCAAAGCTTTGCTTCCTGTTTCTCAGTTCTGGCCAGGATTTCTGCTTTTGTATTAATCCGAATTAGTGAATTTGGTGCTTACTTGCAGTTAGTTAAACAGTTTGGCAAAAAGGCTTGGAAATTGATCTAAACTACGCCGAGAACTATTCAAATTTAGGACATCTAGGAGCATACTATTCTAGCTAACTTGAATAAGTCTGTGTGTGAGAATTTTCTCACCAAGCTTAACCTAATAAGCTTTTGTAGAAGTGCTTAATAGTAAAGAGGGGAGGCAGAAAATCCAAGTGGGGTGAGGGGGTGACACATTTGGTTTCTGTTTTA